ATCCAAACAATGTTGTTGACCTAATGCTCTTCCAGTTATATTGCCATGTTGCATCTAACCCCAATGGAAACGCAGCATCCAGACGACTTTCTACAAGACCAGACGACTTAACACAAGTGCTAGTACTACCTACTACCTACTACTGCTACCTACTATACCTACTACCTACTACCTACCTATTATGTACTACATACCTATTTTGCACTACCTACTACCTACTACCTACTATTACCTAGTACTTACTACCTACTTACTACCTACTTACTACCTACTTACTACTACTACTACTGCTACTACTACTACTACTGCCACTGCTACTGCTACTGCTACTGCCTACTATACCTACTATACCTACTATACCTATTATACCTACTATACCTACTATACCTACTCCCTACTACTTAGTACTTAGTACTTACTACCTACCTACCTACCTACCTACCTACCTACCCCCCTGCCTACCTACCTACCTACCTACCCACCCACCCACCCACCCACCTACCTACTACTGCTACCTACTACACCTACTACCTACTACCTGCTACCTACTTCTACGACGACTACGACTACAACTATGACTACCACTACTCCCTGAGCAGATTATTCAGGGGAGGTGGACCTCATGAATGGTACCTCAGACCTTCTAGACCTTCTAGACCTTCCACGTAGGGGGAGGCGGGGGTTTATTAATCCGGTCTTTGCATTACCAATCTATAACACATCTCTTGCTGCCTCCCCGAAACATCTCCAGTGCTGTCTGAAATAGGTCTTTGGATCCAAACAACTTGAAAGTGAAGCCTGGCCTCCGTCATCATCACCATCATCTCCATCGTCTCCGTCATCGCCAGCTCCGTCCCGTTGCTGATCCTTGGAAGGCCGGCCGCTTTCGGCTGCGAGTTCGCGGCGTCCAATCCGGCGTCCAATGCTCCAGGGGTTCGCGCCATAGGACTGCCGATTCCATTGGGGGGAGTGCTTTTGGAGGATTTTGAGTGGGGCACATTCCAGTCCCAGACACGTCGTGGAGCGGTCAGTTTGTCTCACACATGAAGCACAATCGTACAAAACAGTCCATTCCTGACAAACTTGCCACAAACTTGCAGTCTTAGCGGCATCTTCTGTTTGGCTTGGGGACAGACCTGCGCTGCCTCTGTGACATTCTGGCTTCGGCTTCCACTGTTCAACATGTTTGTTCCCCAAATTTAATTAAGATATAGAAATCGAAAACTCCTCTTGATGCAGGACCTCGTGACGTCGTCAAGAAAGCTGCTGTACCAAAACGCTGGACCCGGTGCGAGGCTTGCACGTGCGGCTCTCGAGACGACAGGTCTGCTGTTCAAGGGTTCAAAAAGTACCAAAAAGTGAATGCTCCGATCAAAAACCTGGAAGGAAGTATGGAAGATGATGCAAGTCGAAATGCCCCCTTGCAAGCCAAGTGGCTCTGGAGTGTCCAAAACAAATCACAGAACACTCGAAGCCAGGCAACATGACACTCGACAATACACTGCGGCTCAGGATCTGCCGGGACATCAGGGCATGAATCGATGGCAGTATCGATGTATTTCGCCGCGCTCACTGCCGAGGCCATCCAGCTGAAGGTCCTCGATGAAGTTGCTGACGGGACGAGGGAGTTCCGAGGCGGTTGGGGCCGGATCTGGCGTACAGTTTGGGATGGGATCACCCCCCAGGTGGAGTTGGGTCTCAAGTTGCTTGGAGGCTTTGGGATGGAATGATGCACAGTGAAAGCAACAGAATTCGGGATTTTGATGGATTTGGGGGATTTGAGGCTTAAAACGGGACACAGGTGCCAAGGGCGGCATGCCCCTATGACTTGCAAGAGCCGTTTCTGCCTTAATTATACTTAAAGTCTAAGTTAACTCAGCTGAATATCCGCAAACTCAGGCCACTAGTTTGGTTAACACCTACATATTAAGGTTGTGGGTGGAAATACTGTATCCTTGCTTTCAAGGAACTTCATGAGCTTCCGTCTCTTGATACTTGTTTAAGAAAAGGAACATCCCATTTCCTTTTACATCCTTTTACTATGTGCCAGCCCACGTATATCTTATCTTTTGGCTTTGGCCGGGTGAGCCTTCAGCTGCCTCTCATTACACAAACAAACACATACAGACTATTCTACAGGCTCAACCGGGCTCCAAAAAAAGGGGCTTACCCCCGTTCTCAAAACAAGGAAGCCTTGTCCAACAATTGCATTAGACGGATGTCCACGTGTCCCTACAGTATATTTAGGGATTCGTTCTACTGAAGCACAGCCTACGTGTCCCCCCTATCCCCTCAAAACAGGCATTTCGTCATTGCCAATCCATGCCCACAATGAGGTTTAAAGTTTAGAAGCATATTTTAAAAAAAACAATCTGGGGCTCCCTGCCCCTCAAAACAGGCGTGTCGGCATTCTCAATCCACGCCCACATTGATGTCTAAAAACAGTTTAGAGTCCTTTTCAGAAAGGCAATTTGAGGCTCCCGGCTCAAGCCATGATTGAATGATATTGAATGCTTGCTCTGAGATCTCGATTGGGTGCTTGGTTGGTTGTGTGGTGCTTGCTTTGTGAATGGATGTCATTGGATGTCCACCATGCCTTCCTGTCCTCCACCTGCAAAAATGGTTGCACAACTGATCAACATGGACTGAAGAAGATGATTGAAGTGAGCCCTCAGGCAAAAACCTTTCCTGGGCCAGTGGAACATGACAGTCCCACCAAGGCACTTGAAGACGCACACGAGGCGGTCGAAGCAGGCAATCTCCATGACCACGATGCTGTCCGTGGCATCCGCGATCTTCGAGATGCTCATGGACACCGTCTGAGAACAAATGGCCTACCGATGTCGCCGACCGAGTCGCAGTCGGAGTCGTCCAGCGACGGGACCGAAGGGACGGGGCAGCATATATGTCATACATGGAGTGGAGTGTCATACAGTGCGAAGAACACAGCATGCATGTGAGCTGTGTAGTCGACGATAGGACACACCTCCTGCGGAGGACGGCAGGTCGACAGGTATGGAATGGCCGTAGCCGGTGTTTGGCAGCTGTGATGCTACGATATGCTATGATTATAGAACACTTTGAGCTGCTTCTGGCTGGTTGAAGAACCCACTTCTTAAGAGTTCCATAATAGGGCCGATATATTTTGGCCTCGGCGGGTCAAGATGTATAAGACAGTTTAAGACATACATAAACATGCATACCAATCACCAACTGCCACTCAAAGGGGTCAAATCGTGTGGGATACAATACAAGCATAGATCCGAAGGATCCTGCAACGCCAAAAACAACATCGACCAGCTGAATCGGATTCTCCTGGATGTTTCCGCAGCTGTAGACCGCATCAGACATTTGTCCTTGTCATATCGGATCAAAGAACCAGCATGGTCGTCAAACAGGCGGGTTTGCAAAGAGTCTTGATACATCAACTGGAACTTCAGGATCACGATGGAACAAAGCAATAGTTCCCAAAGGCCTATATAGATCTTCCAAGTATGCATAACTTTTGCGTTCTGCCTGGTTTGGTGGATGAGAAGGCAGAACTTGTGAGTAGCTGGAAGATCCAGGTATGGTCATGAATGGTCATTAGTTTTCACAAACTGGACTGGAAGTTGTGCTTACTTTCCTCGAAGCTTTGCACAGGCGCGTGGGTGAGGAGACACCGCACCACCCTACAAAGTCTTTCAGCTACAGTCGCTTAAGCATCGAAAAGCTCTACCCGTTTTTGGGATATTCGCTTGATTTCGCTTGTAAGGACTGGGTAGAAAAAGGATAAACAATATAGTGGTCATAATTACCGATCAACATTATCTAAATATATACCGGTATTGACTGGCATCATCTGCTATATGGATGCACCGCACATACCCGACGACAGCTGGTGGTCATCCTTGATCTGGGAGGCGGGAACTGTGGTCAGCTACAATAGCTTTGTAAAAAACTTCCTCAAGGCCTCGAAAGGGCGACCATTGGACCCAAATACCAACCAGGTGCCATTCACATCTATGCATGTTTTTACTTCCGGGAGTGTAGTTGAGTCAGTCTCTATAGCCATTTTCGCAATCTCACCACTCCGTGATCTGAACAGATTCAAGTCGCTGCCCACTGCTCAAACACCATTTTTACGCTCCTACCGCTCGAAAAGTTCCCAGAGACCACACCACCCTCCAAACACTTGGCCATCTGTTTGGTCGAACAGGTCCCCGTCAATGAATGTTGTCGTGCTGAATCACCATCACGGAATCATGTAAAAACATGGCTCAGCCCTCCCACATATTCCATGATCCACACATCTCCACACCCTGAGACAGTGACTTAGTGGAGCCCCCCAAAATATCAAGCATCATTATAGTTATTGTGATGGTTATATCCTGACTTAGTGGTGACAAATATAACCATGATAGTATCATTGATATCACGATCCATCCCGAAACATCGCTTCCACTCTCAGTTCAAGCCGCCTGCCAGCTCAGTCGTTCGCCGGATCAGTGACACAATATCATCCGCGCACACGCCCGACTGCTGATTGGGCTGAGAGCAGTCGGCGGTGGAATAGGTGATGTAGGAACCTGCTCCCGTTGTCCGGATGGATGGGCTCAGTGAAAAAACAGTGGTCAACAATGCATTTGTCGGTGAAACCTTCGAGCGCTGCTCAAGCTGAGAGCGACCACGACCAGTTGCTACAGTCTACAGCAATTTGGAGTCGATTGCTATGTTTGGCATTTTCAGGTATCTTCCCGTAGAACCAGGGTTTCAAACTCTGCCGCCAATCATCTACAGTGTCCGTTCCTGATGAAAAGGGTCCCTCCAAGAATCTTTAAGATCTTTCGCCAGAGTACTTCGCAGCATGGCCGTGTGAGCCACTTGGCATGGATGGTGGGAGTGAGAACGGTGAGGGGCAGCCCCATCCCCTTTGGTATGGCCTACACCTACCAAGCTATCAATCAAAAACCCATGAACCATGGGGTCCTTCCTCCTGTTGATTTTGGGGCGGAACAAATTACTCATTCTCAGGAAACAACCTTCACCGCTCTCGGCGCCATGAAATTAAAACACATGTGACACGGGCGTCAAGGTATATAACAATGCGCCTGTGCTGAACAAACAACTGTCCAACTTCTCAATCTCCAAACAGTGGGACTTCATGGGCCTCTGACTCTTCGGCCAAAAGTTAGGAAACTTGTTGTTAGATAAACACAGAGGGTCCTATTGAAAGAGAAAACCCGACTTGCGGACTCGTGTTGGTCATGGCCGGATTGCGCGGATTGGCAGTGATCGGGGTCCTTCAAGAATCCGTCGGCAGCAAAAGCGAATCAAGGGTCGAAAACTAATTTACTTCGAGTGACCCCCACCATGACATTTCAATCTGACAAATTTTCTGGCATGTATTGAAACGTTATTTCGGCATTCTTTCTGGCATATCTTCGTATATCGTCTGACATTTTTCTGGTTTATCTTCTGACATGTTTTGGGCCGTATCTTCTGGCATTCTTTCTGAAATTATTTCCGGCATATCTTCGATGCTTTCTGGCATATGTGGTGGTGCCAAAGCTACTTGCTCGTGGTGCTTGCACGGACAAGTTGGGACGTAATTATCGTTTTTCAGGGCTTTGGTCTTTCCACAATTATTTGGCATTCCAAGCATGGAGTGCAACTTGAGAAACGGGGGTGGGCGAACCCTTGGTAGTAGCAGCACCGTAGACCAGCACCAGGAGGGGCAGCAAGCCACTAGCAAGGCAGGCAACCAGCAGCGCAAGATCAGCAGCAAACCAGCAAGCCAAAAGCAGCAACAAGTCTGCAGCAACAGCACCAGCAAAGCAGCAAGCACCAGCAAGCAGCAGGCAGCCAGCACCAGCAAAAGCAGCAGCAATCCAGCAAGCCAGAAGCCGCAACACCAGCAAGCCAAAAGCAGCAAAGCAGCAAGCAAAAGCAAGCGGGAGGCAGCAGGCAGCGACAGCAGCGACGACAGCAGCGACGACAACAGCAGCAGCAGCAGCAAGCCAGCAGCAGCAACACCAGCACCACCAAAAGCACCAGCAAGCCAGCAGCAAACCAAGTGTACGTGTGGGGATCTTGTCATGTGGCTGAGAAAACACACCTTGCGAGGTATCGTTGAGATCGCCCATACAGGGAAGCAAGAACGGATCCGCACTCTTCCCCGAGCTCTGCCCATGATCAAGGTCAAGCTGAGTAGATCCCCGTCCGGCGGGCAACACTGCCATCCGGAGTTGGAGGTTGAGGTCTGGAGGAAGAGGCGGAGGAGGAGGGCGAGGACGGCAGCTGACATAAAACCAAACAACCCTCACCTGACAGGTGGGGAAAAAGGTACGTGAACTTCCCTCAGGTCCCTCATCCAAGCTCATTCCAATGCGTCCAGGGGACCCATCAAGGTCATGTCATAAATGATGCCTGTAAGATCCTGAGCTGAGCTAGCGGATGGTGCCCTGGACCAGTTTCCTACATTGTCATAAGATCTCAAGTTCGTCAATGGTGCCCTGGACCCGCTTCCTCTGGTTGTGGGTGGGATCACACATGGCCACACAGCAAACAGCGCCGAATGAGACCCTTTGAGGCCCGACGACGGAACAACGCCGCTGACCGCTGACAGCCACGATGTCCGTCTGAACATGTACCTTCTTTTACCGTGCAAACGGGGAGGTTAATGCTCTTTCTCTTCAACGTATATATATATATATATGTATGTATGTATAGTATAATATATATATATATATATGACTCATGACTACATCCAAACCCAAACCCGAGACTAGGAAAGCCCAGTTCCTCGAAATGACGTGTAGTAAGTTGCTAGCCCACGCTGTCAGTGCTGCGAAAAACATCCCCAGAGCCACCACACCAAGTCTCTACAGCGCACTGAGGTTTGTTCGGCGAAATGATGGGTGCTGGTGTGGTGGGCACCACCGGTGCCACCGTCGCCACAGGCAACACCGTGGGCCCTGTGGGTGCGGCGCCCAGCATCGCGTCTAAGATCTGACCTGGCATGTTTTGGTACAAGTAAGGTTGGGTATAGAGATGATATGACGTGCATGTCAGTACCAAAGTCAGATTTTCTGGGGTACACATATTGTGAAGTTCCGGCTTCAAAGGTCCCCAAGTGCAAACTGCAGGTCGTTTCTACAAACGGTCAGGAATTTGAACACATACAAGTGTTGTGGTTTCCTCTGTATCTGCTTTTATCAGGCAACATGTTTCAACTTTCAAGTTGGTGTCAAATGTTTTTGGTTTGCCTACATCTATAATGGTCAAGGGGGTGCCAATCAGTTTTGACCAAGTCCACAGTCCATCTACTTGCAAAGGTTGATTTGTTTGCCCATTTTGGTGCAACTGTGCAACTGTTTTTCAAGTTCGGAACAACCATGAACCAAATCATTCTGCAATGTCATCGTGTCATGGTTCCTTCCGGGTGATTGCCACCAGGATCGAAGCAAGGACTTCCTAACAGGGCGGGGCAATCCTCACCGTGTCCCGACTCTTCGATCTTGGCCACGCCACGGCCACGGCAGTCAATCAATGATTGTTGGTAGGAACATGTAACTTTGGACAAGCCTTGCGATTGAGCTCAGTATTGAACGTGTACTGTTTTTTACTCTAAGCATCTTACCACCCCAAAAACAACGCAAAACAATTGAACAAACACTTCAATGGCATTCAATGGCGCACCTCCATCCTCGGCGTGCACCAAAACCAACAGGATTTGGAGCACCCACGCGGTCCACGCCATGTGCCGTCGGCCCATCGGCGTAGACTGGACGTCTGAATCAGCCACCAAGCCAAGTGGCTGAAAAGTGGAAACTGATTTCTTCGACATGAACGTCTGGACAAAATCACCGTCGATCGAATCGTGAGAGATTTGAACCTAAGTAAGACCCAGGACCCAAAGCAACCATATGTAACAAAAATGGAACAACTGTAGCAGCGAATTCAACTCTGAAAAAAAAGAACTACCACACGTGTTTCTATTTGACGGAGTGTTGCAACGGTGAGGAGAAAACAATAGGGGCGCGTCTTACTAGGGGTAAAGGGCACCCCCGTCCAAGAATATTATGTTAATGACTCCAACCCCCCTTTACATACGATTCGGAAATATGCTCCACCCTGGTTTCACAAGGTTGGAATAGTAAAAACATAAATAGTATTCGGGATCGGGTCTATCAAGAGAAAAATCTACAAAACTCTGCGCTGTGGGACACAAGGCTGCTCAGCACAAAGCCGACAAAGGGTATGAGTCGGTATGAGTGATAGCACCCTCCCAAGCAGTGTGATCCAAAAAACGAAATCGAGCCCAAGATACACCGTGAATGATGTTTCGGATCACCTTCCGGATATTAAAAACAAGTTCTGTCAACTGGATGGCAAGAACTCCCTGAAATGACTGGCAAGGGTGTTTTTACATATGCGGAGGGTGGTAAGCTAAGCTTTGCTGAATCAAATTTGGACTACTGTAAGTAGTTTTATTTTGAGTTACTGTAGTTAAGTTCAACTGATTTTTGATTTCGTTTTGGTTCATAAGTCCAAGCTGAATCACCACTGTTTAATCCCAAAATTCAAGTTTATGTTTGATTGAATGCGCCAAGTAAGCAGCAGCTTAGCCACAATGGGCCATTATATGTTTTTTTCGCGCAGCATCCCCAATGCGGTGCTCTCCCTGGAGTTTTGAAAAACATTGAATTAAGAGATAGGGTTGTTCATTGTGTTGTCCTTGGGATAGTCTGACAGCCGGTGCGAACGCTGCCGTACATGTCAACGCCTAAATCATCTATAAAGCGCCTTTGCAAACCCATGTTCTCACAGCATTGGTTCTATAAAATGCCGAACCAAATCTCTAGATTTAAAGTGCATGTAACAGCAACCTACTCGTGTATAAAGTTTGTCAAAGGTTCACAAGGTATGCACATGCTAAAAAAGGCCGCCAGAACTACCAAAACATCTCCGTAAAATGCTGACAGAAGCCTCAAAAACTGCAAGGCAATAACCTCTCTATAATATGCGGGCCCAACCCGCAACGTACCGTCTCGCACATTAAGGAGGAACATGTTCTGGTCAACCCCTTCCACTTCCCCCACCGGCATCCGCTGGGCCAAGATCTGAGGAAGGGTCGTCGTTCTTGTAGTCTTTTGCCAGCTCGCTCCGTGACACGAAACCCACCTCAACAGCGACTCCAAAGAAACACAGGGACTAAAACTGAACTGCGTCGTTTGAACCCCACCTGCAGCACCGCCTGGTCGAGAGCAATGGTTTGGGGCCGCAGCTGGGTTGCGGAGCGCTAAACCAAATTTTTTGTTTCCGAAGTCTTTCCATGAAGAACTTACATGGTAATATATACTATATATATATATACCCTTTCGCCGCCCCGATAGGATCAAAACCAATGAGCTTCGAGCGAGCTTTGTCTCAAACTGGGCAAGTGAGGAGACCCGGAAGCCAATCTGTGTCTAGAAAATGTCCTCCACAGCCCTCGCGGGTGGCTTGCCAACCCTCACAAGCAGCCCAAGAAAATAACGTGCGGGCTGGCCCCTGGGTGTGCCACACCAAGCAGGACAAACATGACAAGTTCTTCTCCATAATCTGGTGCTGAAACAGGCTGACGCAGCCAGTAAAAGCAAACATTCAAGCTGGAAAAATTATGCTAGGGTGCTCAACAAATGAGTTTCAATGGTGGGCGTTGTTGCTCCTGCTGCCAAGGGTGACTGACTGACTGTACAGCCAAAGGAGTTGGGAGGACTAGCGCGCAAGTTGATCACCCAAACGCGGGAAACAACCCAGGGTTCAGCGCCTTCAGCAACGCGTGAGCTCTTACATCAGCTGAAACATCACCAGCAATCATGTCCATGTTCAATTCCCAGGGATTCAAACAACTTGTGCACATGATTTGGATTCGAATCCGTAGAAGAAGGGACCACGGGGAGGTGGCCCTTTAGGTGGCGGCTGATAGATCGGCTAACTCACCCTACGCCAGCCTCCTGGCCACATTTGGAAACCTGTTGCAGAGAGGATCTGACCCATGACGACGGGCGCCGAAAAGGGTGGGAACTCTAGGCTCTGAGAAAGTCTTTGTTACTTGCAGTTTCAGACTTAGCGTTTGTAAGCCTACTCTGCTCCAAAACACCGACATGGTTTCCATTTCTTAAACCAGACGGGACGTGTGAAATATCCCAAATAACTTGGAGTTCCAGCCGACCCTTTTATCCAACACAAATCTCCGGCCAACGTGAAGTTTCACTGAGCAATTACGACGTGTGGGACCTGAGTGACTCCTTCAATAACAGTCACCTGGGCCCTGAGTGACCTTTATTTTGGATCAACCACCGAAACTATGATCTTTTCCTATCAAACAGGAGTCAAATGAGTTCTAGGCTGCACACAGTATATGCCCAAACGTTCCATGTATGCTCAAATGTAGGTGAGATTTGCAATATCAGTGCATATGTGTCTATATGCATAGAATCACGTATCTATTCCTTGCGCAAGGCATCGGCAAACCCCTGGTCCTTTGGTGAAAACGCTGTGCCCTTGGAACTTTCAACGCGCCAAGCTCGGTCAGCCCTGGAACTTTGCCCTGAGATGTCCAGCCCCCTGAGTTTGGCTGTTTTTGAACCATAATACTGTAACCAACCTTCTCAACATTAAACATCGGAAAACATAACACAACCAGTAGTAAAACACAAAATAAGCTAACACGTAATTAGGGAGAACATAGGACCAACATGATAGACAAAAAACAGAACACACACATAGTACACACACTTAAAAAAAAATAAAACATTACTCCAAGATCCCCAAAGTCCGAATAACTATTACACTAAACATGATAAAATTGTGGAACATATGAAACAAGGAACATTTGGTGAAGAAAGGAAAGCCACAGAACCAGAACAACATGTCTGCTTCTGCCCTCGTTACCAACTGCACAATGTTCTTGTTAAGGCTTGGCCTTCCATTTCCAAATCCGTTCCTTTTTGTATTGTATTCCTAGAGCCCCGCCCCGCCTCGATTTTATAGTGTTGTTCCACCAATCCGGAGATATATATAATCCCGAGTACCTTTTAAAAAGCCTCCCCCATAAAAAAAATTGAGAGAGGACGGGGTGAACGAAAGGTTGCAGGGAATCTGGCGTAACCCTGGAAACACTGGTATTAATTGTATTCACGGTGTTTTTTGCGGCCACTTTGAAGCGTACATAGCTTGAAGACATCCCAATATACAGGGTTTTGTGGCAGGAAGGTGCAGAAGCCCGTGTAAGTACCGTCGCTTTGTGCCACTTTGATGCCTCTAAGCACCGCAAAACTCTTTTCCGCCACTCAAAAAGCCTGCAAATAGCGTGGTTTGAGGCCACTCTTGAAGATAGGAGCTGAAAACACATGAAAACACTGGTATTTACGGTGTTCTGTGGTCACTTTGAAGCGTACACAGCCCAAAACCATCGCAATTTACAGGGTTTTGTGCCGGGAAGGCGCACAATCCCATGTAAATACCGTCGTTTTGTGCCATTTGGAAGCCTCCAAACGCCGAAAAAAACCCTTTCCGACAAAATCTTTCCAGGTTTTTGGCAATTTTTCGACCATTTCTGAAGCCTGGACACTTCAAGAACCATCGGTTTTTACGAGGTTTTTGGCCGGACAGCCACAGAAAACCCTGTAAATTGCGTGGTTTGAGGCCACTCTTGCAGACTGGAGGAGCTGAAAACACTGCTATTTACAGTGTTTGGTGGCTGTTGACAAAGACCCGCGCCAGGGTGGAGTTGAAAGGGGGGGGGCCCCTCGGCCCTTAAAAGTAAATGTCGGAGGCGATTTCTCAGTGAGATAGGTGTCCACTCTGGTTATAATTCTTTTTTCTAAAGCAAAAGGAAAGCTCAGGTGGCGTAACCGCTGCCTTTCCTGAAAGCACCACGTCGGAAACCTTAAGTTTGGCTTATATTTGTTTTTAAATTACCGCCCTCTCACACCGCTACTAAACTACCAATAAACTACGAACATAGTCGATTTTGGGGTAGTTTCTTTTATTAGGTTCCAAAAACAACCGTAACTGCCCACATCTGTCTGCCCCGTGTATCCACCATGACACGCCGCGTTTACACTAGCAGCTTTTCCTCCTCCGATGGCACGGACTCATGCAAACGCACTTGCCACCGATGAGGTCGGGCAAAACCGCATGGCACAGCGACATCACCTTTCGAAAGCGTTGGTTGTTAGTCTAATGAAGAATCAATATTCTAATAAAGGTTTTTGTAGGGGAAAAGAAGGCCCTTCGATCTGAAGGTTTTTTGAATTTTTGATACCAGTTTAATAAAGGATTTGATAAAAAACAATCTGAATGACTTTTTGGTTTTGAAGCTCTTCCCAGGTGACCCTATTTGGACGCCCCCGATTTCCGGGACCTCCTATTTAAACATTTGCGACCGAGTTTCTCTTAATAGGGGGAGGGGGGGGAGGCGTGTTGTTTTAATGGGTGGACAGGATTATATTGTATCCATCGTCTGCTACTCCAATTCTATGAGAGTAAGCTTCTTCGAAGCCATTCAGTGAACATGGTTTCTCATAGACTCATAGTCGTGTTTCTTAAGCCACTCGGGAGAAGATGCGGCAAACAAAATAGACATCCGTGACATTCCGTGACATATGTATCCTATTCCCTGGGTCCAGTGGATGACGATGGTTATGTTCAAGGCCGACATCTCTAAAAGGGTGATACAGTATTTGTTGAATTACCGACAGTTACAGTGACAGGTAAAAACACCCCCATGACACATTCGTGCAATGTTCCGGTTCACTTGAAGCGCCGAACCGGGGCGCCCCCAGGCTGCTGGTGCAAAAGGGCTGCTCCCAATCTGGACGGTCAAGATGTGACGCTAAGGCTTACCATGTCTCACGGCTGCGCTTTTGGAGCTTTTGAAGCAGCCCCCTCTTTTACATCCGGAGTCTACTTCTCTGGGGGGTGTCTCCTTTCTCTGGCTACAGTATTCAGTCTCCGAGTCTCCACTGTCAAATTGTATGGAAACATGCCTCAAACTCGATCAGGCTCTTAGGCACCAATCAACATCGACCAAGCTCGGAAGCTCCGATCGAACAGCCGTTCGACAACAGCGCGTTTTCGTGGTGAAAACGGTGTGCTGTTCGGAACCGGTGGGTCTGGTGACCGTCTTCTCAGTGCAGGACAACCGTCTTTTTGAAGGCCAGGTCACGTGGATAGTGAAGATGGGCATGACCATCTTCGCGAAAATGGCCGAGTACAGCAAGTGGAGCACCACCAGCACGGGGAATCCTGGCCGAGTATGGCAAGTCGATTCTGGTACGATTCTGGTGCGCACAGCACAAAGCCACGTATATATAGATTGAAAAGAATCCACCGAACAACATTCCCAATTCCCATAATGACGTCGGATGTGGTGACAGTGTAACGATGTTGTGGACTTGACACAAAATCGTTGTGGTTGCGCACTCTCTTGTTTGCACCCGTCTAATGTCAACACCTCATGCCTCAGCCTTTAATTGCGTCTACATCATAATGAAACAGCAAGAAAACATAAGAAACCAACTGGAGAGCAACCACCCCTCTAAAGAATCAAATCCTCGGCAGTCTACAGCATCTACAGCCAACAGCATCTATAAATCATAAGCAACCCCGGGAAAACTTCTCACCTTGGATGAGCTCTTAAGATATATCAAAAATAACTTGAAGTATTGAAGTAGCGCTAACCAAACAATTGTTGCAGACTGTTGGTGAATAAAACACATCATATGAATCCATATTCACTATATAGGATGCATCTCTCCAGAATAACCCAGAACAATCACAGGGAAAATGATAATTAAGTCGTGAAGTCGTGAGCACTATCGTGAGCCCGTCTGTTCGAAGATCTTTGCCATTGGACAGCATTTTAAACAACCCCTCCCTTGCTCAATGTCGAGCGAGCTGCTGAATTGGGTGAAGCACCACAGCAGCAATGCCTCAAAGAAATCAGCACCCAGAAACGAAATTGCGAGCCGTTGAAATCACTTTCCAAAGACTGGAGTGATGGTGGTATATTGGATGAACTGTTTACGTCTGAACCAACAAGCATGTTCTTGGATTTGCTCAAGGAACCTGGAAAGAGTAAAACATATTCACCAAAAGGATACTTAAAACCATTAAACATATTGTAACATGATTTAACCATAGGGGTGCAAACCAACAACAATATCTCTTTAAGCAACACCAGGTGTTTCAAACGCACGAACGCCAGGTGGAAATCGACTCGATCCCTTCCCCAACGAGTGGGAGTCGACTCGGACGTTGATTCGGTGCATAGCTTCAGTCAGGTGTCAACGTGGACACCACCCACGTGGTCTGTCGCTTGCATGCTATATGTTCTGGTTCGCGAGTTGTTTGGCGTGGGTTCTTTTGGGGTGAGCACCCCAGCTCCCAAAATGCAGGTCGCTGATCTTGGGGTGAGCACCTCCTCCTACTCCTCCTCTCAAAGGAGGTCCCTGTCATACTTTAGAGAAAGGATTAGACCCTGAAGACCACTGGTTGTTCAACAATTTCTGTCCTCGGATTCCACGTTCATCTTCGGCCCAAGGTGCGAATTCCACACCGGCCAAACACCACAAATAACCCTTAGAAGTGGGGAGCTTGAAGCACCATGTCTCCATGCCGAGGACCTTGATCCCCGGCTTCGGCCCCAGCGGCCGCATCAGTGAAGCCGCCCAACACGGCGATGGAGGCCAAGCCGCCACACATGACCTCGGCGAGGCGGCACCGGGCGTCTTGCGATGCAAACCACGGCGGCGTTGGGAGTTGGTCGCGCCAAGGTGGCCGATGAGATCGTTCATCCTGCAGGGTTTTGGAGTGATCAATGATTAGTGGAACCTCTGCAGGAACGTGATTTTGGGCAGCGTGGGATGCACGTAATGGCACGTATATAAATCCCATTAAACCCCAGTCCAATCACTTCCCATCACTTCCAGCCCTGTTGTAACTGTCTGTTCAAAGCAATCAAGGTAGCTTTTTGGGAGGACAAAACTGCACTCCCTCAACTAGGAAGCCAAATATGACCTACGACCTAGGCCTCCAAAAAGCAACGTTTGTCTGCAAAGGGTTCTGCTAAGCCTAAGCTGATGGCTTTGAGGATGCTGTGAGATCGAGAGGGTCTTCGTTCATACCAAACTTGGCCACTACGTCAGGTCATCCATTTACCCTCCAGCTATGTGCTGGGGCCAGTTCAAGAAGTGACAAATAGGACCTGATGCCGTCTCAGCTGGTTCAGTGACAGGAGAATACTCACTGTGCCATTCACTTGACACAACGGGGTCCCACGGAACCCGGAGACCGCTCGTGGCTGCGCACTTTTCCCACATCATGGCCACGCAGGCCGCCCGGGATATCCAAAGCTGTTCCCTGTCGCCTGGCAGGGCCAGGGTCCCAGGGCCGGCATCTTTTTGCATCTCAGAAATGCATTCAGAATCTCTGAAGACATGGCTATGAACAAACAAAGGAGGTCAACCTACCAGGGTCAACCGCACCTCCCGGTTGTGACCCACCGTCTTAGACATGGTGAGCTCAGCCATTGCTAAAGCAATGAACTCGGGGGTTGGGAAAACTACGTCATTGTTCCGCTCAGGGCCGCCGGCACAAAGATACTATGCCAACCAATCCGGATGCCACACACGGGACCCCTACAGCTGTGCATCTGGGTTTTCGAGTTGTGCTGGAATTCATCTGCCAGCACTGTTTGTGAAAGGTCTATTTCCTATTCCCGAACAAACATGACTGACCAGAACCTCCATAGAACACTGCACGCTCCCAAGGGTCCTAAGGCGTTTCTTGGGAAACATGATGAAGTATGTATGTATCAGAACTTCCTCTGCCACGTGTTTGCTAAGATAGTCAGAATACCTTGGAGCGGGGTATAGAACTTATTCTCTTATGTGGCGTAAAAAGCATAGGAACACCAACTTCCACTGCACCAACAACAGGTGACGTGGTGCACTTCCAATGACTACATGAACTCCCCACTATGCTGGGAATTGTCGTCTTCCAAAGTGCCCATTGCTTCATCAAGAATAGTGCCATAGGCTATGGGTACAGTTGCAGTACATTGAGATAGCATGAGATAGCTACTTTCCTGTTCACCCTCCATCACTTTGCCAACACAGAAGAATACCTCTCGCGCCCTGGCGCACAAGTGCGCGCCTCGTGCCACGCACTCTCTCCGCATGCCTCGTGCCATGGCGCCACACGTTTTCCACCCACGGTCACTGAACGATCCCGATCCCATGGCCTCAAAAGGATCCCACTCTGAACGTCTGGCCGGGTCTGAAAGCACCTCGAAGGCTTCTTGCACCTCCTGGCGCGATCCGCGCTCCGCGATCTGCAAGAGGAAGACGAAACGAACGGACCGACCGGTCAAAAGCGACCTGTGGACAGGCGACCGATCGGCCACTCGTGGAGGAGTGGTATAGGCACAGTCATTGGACCTCTACCAGTACCAGGTCTCTTTTAAACCTTAAACCATAGCTGTTCTTTTGCGCCAGAAAGTTTTTGGGCACCCATGGTGTGACTCCATATGTTCCTCGATCTGCACCCTTTGGCTACTGACCATGATCTCGAGGGATGGTTTCCCGCAGATCGACGCGCCGCGCCTTGAACCTCTGCGCTGCCTCCTCGGCGCGGTCGACGTTCCTCAAGGCCGGGCACCGGGATGGCCCGATGTGCTGCGCGAGTGCTGCGCTTTTTTGGTGCCTAGGTCATGAGTGATGCATATGGGTTTGTGCATCCATGCACAGTTGGTCCGAAAATGAAGCTCGAATTTGGATGCAGTGAAGGTGAGATTCAGCTTTGGCCCCTCACCCCTCTCTGAAGTTGCTTTTCTCTGACGATGTAGGAGTCAAAACCCGGCGCACTTTTGAAAAACTTGCCCCTTGCGCAACTTGCGCTGGAAAGAAGGAGACTGATTCACCTGTTTATATACCAGCCACACCAGGTACTTTACACCTTTCCTTCCTGAACATTCATCGACTTGAGCTATATTTACTATATACCTTACAGCAGGTCGATCAGGTCCACGAGAATCTGACACATGCAAGCACCTAGGACCTACGAACACACTCTGACTCACAAACCTGGAAGTGGATGACATGGTCCCTTGGAAGACCTTCCATGTTAGTGAGTGGGGGTGCAACAGGCTTGCAGGCATGCACATCCACCAAATACACAAACCTATGGACCTCTCCTCCCTCTCTCATCCTGTCCCAGCGTCTTATCTGGGTGCCACCGCAGGGCCATCTTCCGGTAAGCCTGGCGAAGACTGGCGGATGGGCTTGAACAGATTCCAAGAAGGGAACCGGAAAGAACATTTGCTCACATTCATGCAAGCTCCCGCCATTCACCCATTCACATGTTGGTTCCTGTTGTTTCTCCTCTTTATGCTATGCTGGTTGTCAACTTTCAGGAGACTTGGAGTCAAGTCATCAGCGAGAGTTAGGCCCATGTCTACCCAGTCCAATCCCGTAAATATATCGTCCGCTGGAATGCCGCATCAATATCAACCCCAATTTTGAGTTTGCCGAAGACACCCGAAGAATTCGATGCTTGGCGCTACCCAAGTTGCCTACCCAATCTTACCCTTTGCCATGTATCCCAAAACAAGTGGTTTTGTGTCCATTGCATTGTCAAACATGCCCAAAGAATTTCTGTGGCCATCAAAGAGCTCAAACCTGTTAGAAGAAGGAGGGTTGCTAACGTGCATTCCATGTGGCGAATGGTGGATCTGAATGAGCAAGTGGTAGGTCCATGAGTGGACATGTTTAGCCCCAAGGAAGCAACTGCTTATGTTGGACGCTAGTACCCTGTTGACCCTGACCCTGGCCATCCTGGCACGTCCTAGGCTAGGAGGCCATTGTGCCCCCTAGCTCCTGCCCTTCCCATACCCTCAATCCTAGCACCTCATAATATGCTGTGCTGGATTGCTTGGGTGGCCTTTTGCAGAATTTCGCCTTGTGTCTTGTCTGGTGTGCAGTGTTTCTGGCTGTCTCATTCTAGCACTTTCAGACTGAGCTATAGCAGCTAGAGCTGGTTTGGTACAATGCAGCAGTTGGGTAAACAAAAATCTGCAATCCCCCAACCTCCAACTATCTGTGAGAGGTTCTGAACCCTTTGGCAGCCTGGAATCTGTAGTATTATCTGTGTTCTTTCACGATTCCTCATGTTTCCTTTTCAAGGCACGAGAGAGATTCTTCCAGATCGTCCAGGTTCTTGACCTTGAAAATACATCGAACATATCAATGCCAACCCTTAAGGTCCTGAACAATCCTCAGCATCTTCCTTGTTTCTTTTGGCTGGGGCTTCCTGAGAGTTTGCCCGATCGCATCTTCCTTATGCTAAATTTATTGGATTCTGTAGAACCAACGTTTGAAACATGCTTGTACAGACTTGATGTGCGCAATAGGAAGCAATAAAACATACATGGTGTTTTGTATGATGCCACATGGCTATCAACTACCGGAGTTTTGACCGGGAGTCCTGTCTCTTTTCTACTTCAAACAGTGTCGCTCCAAGACAGATTGATTTGAGGTCTGTCTTTCTGACGGGAGTGCCAACCATCCGCGGCCATTGGCGCCATCCGATTGAGCGCCTTCTTGATCTCCTGCGGCGTCGCCAGGACTCCAAGGCCCAGCAGCGCGTAGAAGTTCCGCCGTGGTGGGCGGGCAGCCCAGCGCAGTGCCACGGCACGCCAGGCACTAAGGCCTCAGAGTGGGCCAGCAATGGCCAGCATCCGAGTAAGTACCCTAGGGCTCCTGGCTAACACCCTCAGCTCCGAAACAATGGTAGGCCAGGAGCCATATAATAGGGGTAGGTCGACAATGTTTCCGTGAAGGCCGCCATGGAATCCGCGAGGTCTTTCCAGTGAGTTCAGGGTTTAAAGCTGGTGCCTTCACCCCAAGAGCCCTCAAAAGCCTTCAACCCTAACCCACTAGCTATGGCCTCCAACCTACTAGCAATGGCCTCCAAGGCTACTCAGCTCCTCCTCACCAAGACTCCTTCGAAGCGCGGCGTCTCTTTGAAGGCGATCTCGAAGTCGTGCACGGCCTCCCCGTAGCGCTCCTCACCGTGGCGTCGAGGCTCGAGTTCAACGGACCCCTCGAGGTCCTCCCGGTTGTTGAAAGACTCCAGGTGGCAGCTGATTCTGAAAGGAAAAATCACAGCCACTGAAATATACTGTATATATAGACTGTTGATGACTGTTGATATCTGATAAATTGCCCTAAAACATGGATTGTAACACCTCTCATGTGGGGGCTTGAAATGCAATCAGCAGTCTACAATAATTAATTTTACTATTACTACAAACACCTGGGAAATCTGGAAAGCTTGGCATGGCATGGCATTGTTTGAGCGTAAATCGGGCATCCCAAGGGTGAGCAGCAACAACAACAAGCGTTTGAACATGAACCAGTCCCGACATGAAGTCTCCCAGTGGCGGCCACGAAACCAGCCCCTGCCACACCAACAAAGGGATAGCCGCCACTTTCTACCATGCCGATGACAAGAACAAAGCGCAGTCGTTCTTGGCATCTTTATGCTGGAGAAAAAACGGCAGCTGACTTAGAAAACTCTTCAGGGTCTACAAACCACTTAGCTGTAAGAATAGAATCGAGTCACATTCAAGGCTAAAGCTTCCGTGCAAGTCTTGGAAAAGTATAGATGCCAGGCTGTGCCAGGCTGTGCCAGGTGCCTTCAAACATGAGCCTGCAAACGGCACCCCTCCACCGTTCGCCGTCCCACCGCTCCAGCTCCATGTAGAGCATCCCGCGCCGCACCCGGGCCTTGCCGTAGCTGGGCACCAGACCTTGCCGCTTCGAGGTGACCCCCAAAACATGCCGAGCCGCTGTCCTTCCTTTCGCCTTTCGCCGAGCCGCATTTGGGGGGCGAGATTCACAGACAGTCATTTCATATTATTTCCATGTTACTTGTTATACACCAACACTCCAATGGTTCGCGATCCGTCTGGAGTTCCTCCGTGCTCCAAGGCACGTAAGGCCAGGTGTAGGTCCTCCATCGCGCAGCTCGTCTGCTCCAAGCGGTGCCAAACGCTCGCGCGATTGCAGTGCAACTGCGCGCTGAGCCTTGCTGATGGACGTGCAAACTGGAATTCAATCTTCCACTGAAGATCCATGTGTTCCAGCAAGCTGGCAATGGAGGACTTCCTTATCGGCTGCTTGCGGGACCTACAAATCGAAATCCTATGCACAAAGAAAATGCATTGAAACGCGAGCCCAAACACACTGGTCTGGCGAATGTTGTGGTTTTTGAGGGATTGATTTAGAGGGTCTACTTCAGGTGGATTTGGGTACTGACCCTTGCAAGTCCATCATGTCCCTTGTCACTTTCTCCTGTTTAAACTTGAACCGACACCCCAAATGAATCTGGAGCTAGGGCACTCCACGTCCATCCGCAAGGCATCTGCAGCAATTGCCAAGTCGTAGCCTCGGGAGCCCCAGAGTTGAGACCCGGTCCTTTTGGCCTTCTGCCACGTCTCTAACTCCAGAATGCCGACGAACGAACCCGAACCCCCCTTATTTTTAAAAGTAATGCCCCAACACCTCTAATTAATTCAGTGTTGCTGGGCCCAGCGGCACTCTTTTGCTAAGCTCCATTCTTGTGTGCGGTAGGCCTCGTTGCCGCGCCTGACAGCAAGAGAACTGGACATTCAAGGACATGAAGGAGTAACTAAAACAAAAAATATTGATACATGATGCATGTTTGTACTTAGACTACTAAGTAGACTTGATCATATATAAACGTGGCCCACAATGTCACACTTGAAACTTTCATTCCAAAAAAGCACGGCTACACGATGAGAATCAAACCATGTACCCCCTTCTAGGTCACTCTAGAGTCTCTGAGTGGTGCCTCTCATTCGATGAGTTGCATCCGAGTATTTACGATAGCCCAATCTGAAGTTCAGAACAATCCACGGAGCGTGGCTTGGTTTTAGATGATCCAACATGATCGGCCAAGTTGCTCCTTCTGCTGGTCAACATGCCTCATTCCGTCCAAAAGCTCTTCCGTGAGGTTGTGTTGGCCACCCTTCTCCTGTCTGAAATGAACAACTGCAAAATGTATCAAAATGCGACATGCATGCTATCGAAGGAGCAAATAACTCTATAGCGGATAGTAACATTGTGACAAAAACAACTTGTACAAGAAGCTCTGCCAACAAGTTTTCGGGGGAAGGTCACACTCCAAGGAAATGCTTCACACAATGCCAAAACTCTTGGTGCTTCACATGGAGTTTCAGCTTCCAGGACTAGCCCTTCTTAGGTCCCGTGGCACGATCTCTGCAAACCCTAAAGCGGATCTATGCTGTTCCCGGAAGTTCTTCAGTGATGCGATGCGTATTGTTTGACTCCCCAAACTAGGAACATGTGACGAGCATTTCCTACTTGTTCACGTTTAAGGATTTCACTTGTTTGAGCTCTCCGGAGGCCACTAGATTTGGAATAGTGTAATTGATGACAGCTCCGTCAGGTTCACAGAACGAACGGCAGAAGAAAACAACCTTCCTTTTAACCAAGAATATTGCCGTGAGAGTACACCAAAAAACGCTAAAAACATACATGTGTTTCAGTGGTGGAAGGTCCAAACGGCCCCAAAACGCCCAAACAAAGATCAGTACGCCCATGATCAAAAGAAATACAGCATTTTTCCTTTCAGCACAACCCCTAGGGCCTAAGGGATCCAAGTGCTCAGGTGATTGGAGACACTGTTATGTAGGTTTGGAGGGTCCAGTCGTACCGAACCTGAGGAGAAGGTACGACTGGATCCCTAAGGAACTGAGTTTCACAGCAGCTGTGCTGCGTCTCCTCTGCACAAAGCTGTGCCCTTCGCAGCGCCTCTCGAGCCTCAGAGCGCCGCTGCAAACGCACCAGCGCCCGGGCCCGCCAGTGGTGCGAGTCCGGCCAACGGGGGTCCTCCTGCAGTAGCCTCAGTGGTCAAACACCAGAAACAAAGGGGGACTGGCTCTGATTTACACTCTGACTCACCAACGTGGAAGTGGAAAATAGGCCCGGAACGACCATTTTGTTCAAGCTATCGCGGCGCCTTTTGGAGCGATGTTCTCGTTGAAGACTTCAGACCACCGAAACCGGGAGAGCCGTTTGTCACGTTTCCAAACGACATGTGACATGTGGGACCGGATGGCTACCGTAATCCATCTGCATCCATGGGACTACCTCCATCCGTGATTCCAGCGTCTTCAACCTCCCTCCCTCTCTGAAGGCGGGGAAGAAAAACAATAACAAATAATAAGAACAAGAACGATAACAAGAACGAGAACCAGTACAAGGACAAGTACAACAACAACAACAACAACAACAACAACACCAACAGCAACAACAACAACAACAAGGTACAAACAAAAACTGCAGCCACGTTACAAGATATTTTGTTCCTTTGTCTCTTCAAGGGGGTGGAAACAAAATCTGCAACCCCGTCGTTGTTATTTTGACCCCCCCGAAAAAAACCAGCCAACATGTACTTTTACCAGTAGTGGTAGTGCTTGTACTAGTGCTAGTACTAGTGGCACTAGTAAGAGCACTAGTACTAGTACTAGTGCTAGTAGTAGTAGTAGTAGTAGTCGTAGTCGTAGTCGTAGCCGTAGTAGTAGTAGTAGCAGTAGTAGTAGTAGCAGCAGCAGCAGTAGTAGTAGTAGTGGTAGTGGTAGTAGCACTAGTAGTAGTAGCAGTAGTAGTAGTCGTGGTGGTGGTGGTGGTAGTCCGGTCAGCTAAGCCTCTGTAAAACTTCTACTTAGAACCACTACTACCACATCCTAGAGACAAAAACTGCAGACCCGTCGTTGTTTTTTTGAACCCCCCCCCCTCAGAAGATGTTGTTGTCTCTACCCCCCCTAGAAACAAAATCTGCAGCCCCGTTGTTTTTTGACCCCCCCCTCCAGAACAACATCCCAAAAAACATTAAAAAAAAGAAGAAAGAGACCAACCAAGACTTGAGTACCACAACGACAAGAAGTCCAGCTACTAACATCTCTCCAAACCTTCGATCCTATCCCTAACAGTGCCCCTTTGAAATCCCTGACTTGCAACATGTGACAACTATGTTGGGCAGCTGCTTTTGTCTCTACCAACAACAACAACAACCGCAACCGCAACAACAAATACACATACAAATACAAATACAAATAACTTTAAAAAAAAAAAAACTAAAACGGATAGGAACAAAGACTATAACACATTGTGAGGCATCTGGCTATTTTGTTCAGTTTTTCCAAAACAACAAAATGGACTGAAGTTGGACCCCAGTGACTCCTCCGTCAGCTGCAAGGCCTTCTTGGCCCAGTCCAGTCGCTCCTCTGCCGCCAGGTCCGAAGTCGTGGACCTGAGCTGAGCAGAAATGGGGGGAGGAGACCTGTGGTCTGTGGAAGGCCTGGGGAGGGATCTGATTGCGATCATTGGGCTGGTCCAGGGGTCCAGGACGGTCCAGGAGCCACCCTGCTTGGTGTCACGGCTACTAGCCTACACGGCCGCGTTACGCATCCCGCGTCGCTACTTCGGGACCTGTGTTGGACACCCATCGGATGGTCCAGGTAGATGTTCAGGGTTTGACGTCAAGGAGGCTAATGCCGTTGAACATCTCAACCTCGGTCGCGCTTGACCAGGACAGGATCCACAAGAGGAATCCGCAAAAGCAATCCAAGGCGAAGACAAGGATCATTCATGACCCCTCGGGCTCCAACCTCCTCAGAACTCAATTCAGTCCCACCTTCTCAGAAGGCATGACTGGAGCCCATCCGGGGACACGATCAATTCAGCGGTCATGACCGGTCTCTGGTCTTTTAGGAAGACTCTGTCCTTCCATGCAGGACCTAAATCTACACCACTACAACATCCTGTGCCCTCGCAGCTACGTCTCCAGCTCTTCTGGGATGAAGAAGGCACCCCCTTGAGGCGCCGGGCCCGGGAATGGGATACAAGTAGGCACGCAGCTTTCCTGAAGACTCGAACAGGAATCAAAGCTAAACATGAGGGAAATGAGACCACGACTCCAGCGACTCCGCTTCTTGTGGAGAAACATGGACTAGCTGTGGAAGAAGGTGGTCGTTGTCCACTCTTGGGATGCCAACCCCGTGTTTTATCACATTGCTCTTGTACATAAACTGGTCTGCCAACAAACATCTTGCATCTAGACAAAAAGCCAGCTCAAAGTTCACACCTTCTGCTCACGAATGATCCCTGCACGCATGTGGACTTGATCTCAACAACTCCCATTTATACACTATTGTTGTCAGCATTGTGCTCTTTTGCGCCCTCTATCTCTTGCTGAACCAGTTGCTTCACGATGCACATATCTTTTGGTGACCGTGAGTGCTGTAACTGAGACGAAATAGTTACTGTAAATGCTTTGAGTGACGGTCTGTATTGTTTGCTTTGCTTGCCCTGAGTCAGAGTCTGAGGATTTGTCATTCCAGGACAGCTTGTCAGGGTGAACATGATCACGTTGTCTGCCTTTCGGACTCGGCATGAGCTTACCTGTGTTCATCTACAACCCAAATGGTCCTTTAAGGTCACCAACGTCTGGATCTCTTCATTTCTTCCGGTCATGGGATCTTCTTCTGACACCGGAAAAAACTTTCAGTGGCGATGAGCAGACACGTTCCAGCAGTGGATTTCTGCCTCAAAGGGCTGGGTGGTGATGTTCCGATCGATCCCCGTGACTTGAAGCTCCAAAACACTCAAAGAACATGCATCCACCACGTCATCCTCCAACACATTTTATGGAACATTAGAAACTCTCTCCAGAAAAAACGGGTCTTCTAGAAAACTCCGGCCCCTCATGCACACTCAAAACACATTATGTCATTGTGTTGCAATTGATTGGGTCTATATTTACTTGGGATGTTGCTTTATACCAAGTGGACACGGCAAGTTGCCAGGGCATCACTTGGCTTACACTAGCTTGATAAGGGTCCTCGCGGAAATTCGTACTTTCGGACTGGTGTTGCCGCGGCATAGCCCAAGTAAAACTGGCCAAACCATCACCAGATCCGACTGTTTCACGACTCAGTCCGGCGGCCAAACCGCAGGCGCACACCGAAGGGCGAGGTGGTCTCCAGGTCACCTGCAGTGGTTCTTTTCGACACCAAACCGACCACCTGGTAGACCGGGACGGGGCATGGTGCCACCGAAAGATCACGGAGCATATCTACCCAGCACAGGGGAAAAACATACAGTAGAACATGATGTCAACGCCACAGTCAGTGGCTGGGTTTGATTCTGTTTGATGCTCGGAAACAATGAAAAAGAGTCCCACAGCATACGGTTTTGATTGGGCAAAACTATTCCAAACTCAATTGGCCAATCATATCCGTTGCAAAAAACAAGTGGATGGCCCACTTCCATCTAAGCCGAAGCGTCGCTTCCCCAAAGAAATCAGACTGACCGAATCAGAGTGAATCACGCCACCTATTTAGGATTTAGGCCGGTGACAGTGACTTTCGACAAAAACGCTGGAATCGAACAAATTCAGGTTCTCAACTCCTGAAAATTCGGGCAATTGTTCTACATCTTCAATGAAAATGATGAAATTGAGACAAACATGCCTTCTGAGGCCTCTGAGAGCGCACTAATCAATCCAAGGCCACTGAGCAATTTCAACATGGAGTCGCAGCCATGTACGATCGCCCGGGCGTCTGCCACGGGGCTTGACTCGATTCCTGATCCGCGCGCTAGTGGCATAGGGTCGTTGGATTCTGGCAAATGGAGGTTGAAATATGTTCTGAATGTAGTTAGTTGAACTGTGTTGAAACATGTTAAAACGCTTTATGAGCGATCTTTAGATCTTTTGTGGCGTCTATTCCAGAAATTGGGTCACTGGTTCTGCAAGCAATGCAATGCATGTGGCCACGTGAGGCAGCACTTTGGGCGGACGGTGAACCCCATTACCTACTGGGCGGACCATCTACCACGCGGTTTCATGGCTGTGCATAGGTCAGTTGCTAAGGGTTTAAACTTTTAGGGGTTTAGCAGGTAACCCCTTCTAAACCAAAAAGCAAAGCCAGTCAAGATTTTTTTTTCTGGTGATCTTCCAATGGTGATGTGAAATCACTGAAATCATTTGCAGTAAAAGACCCACAAAAAAAGCTCTAAAATGCAGTAGTTTTGGAACACCTGGAGCAAAGAATCATGAATATGTTGTCAGATTTTCTAGAATTTTCATTCTTGATCACTTTTGATAAGATCCCGAGATCCCTTGTAAACTAAAAAACCAACGCCCCCACGAATCCGCCCAAGCTGACCCTATCTCGAGGGCCCGGCGAATTCGACCGATTCGCAGCTCCAAGTATCTTTGAGCAGTGGAGCTGTGCACCGAGTTCAAGATGCCCTCCATCTCCTGAGATCTGAGCGGGATGGATCAAACATTTCGGATATAGCTCACTCTACTGCTTGCTCTCTATTGGCACATGAACTTTCTTCATAAATGAACTTTCTCTATAAATCCCTAGTTCCAAGGTCAGTGCATCTCGCTCCTCTTTATAACATGAGAACCGCCGGATCGGCCACTGGAAGCGCATGGGGACCATGAACGTATCGACATGTTGTCACCATCTGTGACGTTCGACGTTCGGGTTGATTCCGTGAAGCATTGAAATTAGGCAATTGACAATCTGTTTCACATCCCATAATGATGGTTGAGTCCATGTCACGGGAAGGTTTGTTCATCAAGAGTCAGCCAACCAAGATTCAACATATTCAAGCCATGTGAGCCGTCTGTGCTTCAACCCGTTATATTTGGATCAATGGATTGGTCTAAGTAGTAGGGAAAATCTACAAACAAAAACATGGTTTGCACATGGTTTTCACCTCCAAGACCTGCAATCTTCCCCGAAACCAAATCTGGGATTGGCACTTGCCCAAGCATCGGTAATTTTCTCTAAGAGCTTTCTCGCTGGCCCCCAAGCTCTGCGTCATGCGCCGCAACGCTCCGAGCATCATGGAGGACTCCAGCATGATGGCTCAAGCGGGATGAGATCTCAATAAAGGGCTTCCAAGCATCAGCCTCTGCGTGTAGGAATGAAATCAAGGTCTGCTAGGTCTGTGACACTGTGATTTTGTGCTGGATTCAGGGTCAACTAATCCGACTCTTGTTCCAAACAATCTCTTGTAGGCAGCGGGCCATGCAGTCGGTCTACCTTTTTGCTACCTTTCAGACAGTTGCTTTCCAATTCACGGGGTCAGTCTCGATGAATCTACGTATACAGTATTTTGAATTTCAGGGATCCAAGCCATGCGACATCGCCACGGAGCCGCCACGCGGCCGCCACGCGAGCCGAGGCCTTCTGCGCGTCGGTGAGGTTTTTGAGCCGCTGCCGGCAGATGTGGACACCTCGAGGTGCTCGAGAGCGCGGAACTTTGGGCTATATAGGTGTATGGACTGGGACCGGATAGGACATTTGGAGCGCAAACAAGCCCTTTGGGAAGAATTGAGGGGTCAGTTTGATACCACCTTATTATTTGGTCGCACACTTGGGCAGTATGCTGCATGGATCACAATAACAATAAGATTAATTAGTAAGAGACCTTAGTGCAAAAGGCAACACCAGTTTTATATAGAAGACGTCTGAAGATCTTCAAGTCTTCTTAAGGAACAAAACACTAAGCTACTAACTAACTGTAGACTAAACATACATAAAGATTGATCAAGGCCTTCCATGACCACCGATATACGATGTCTTCCTTCATTCCTTTCTCTATTGCTTTGAGGTCAAGCCACATTTGTGTTCCACTTAAGCTTGCCACACATGTTTACATTCAGCTCGAACCACATTTCTTGGGGAAAACAAAACACTTGGAATGGTGATTTCACGCGCCTACCAACATCATCCTCAAATACTAATTGAAGGGCCCAAGGGTCTGAAATCTGAACCTCACAACATCTCAAAACTCATCTTGACAACAACTAATATATATATAATATAATTAACATAGTATAAATATATATATATATCGAAACAATGCATGCTGCATACTGTCGAACAAAGAAACTATCCGTTGTTTGGGGGGGTGAGAAGGTCCGAAAACATGGTATTGATTGGGCGGGTGTCCTCTAAGACTCAATGTTTTCATCGGGAGAGATCCTGAAGACTAAATCTCTGGGTGTAGAGGATCTGAATGGAGAGTGAGAGAATTGGTGTCCTACAAAATCCAAAGGCGGTCGAAAGGCGGCCAGTGCAGGAACAAGGCGGGCCAAACCAGTAGGGGGAGGTTGCGAGAAGACCGCCCGTCGCCTTCGGGCAAACGATTGTTCAGCAGCAAACATCGGGCGAAGCGCTCACCTCGGGCGCAGAAGCGAAACTGGACAGTCTCGTGAAAAAAGCGCAGCAAAATTAAGCCAAACTCAAACGCAACAAGGTACCCTGGAAGTCCAGGGTCCTACTTTGTAGGGCCCTCGGATTTGTTGAGGAAAGAGGTCTTAAAAAGAACATCGGCGATATCTTCCATTTCAGGTCCGATGTCAGCCTAAAAAGAACATCGGCGAGGGGGCTTTTTGATGGGCCCTCACTGCTCGTGTTGGCTTGATTGAGGACATTTGGCCTCGTGACCTTTATTGCCCACCACATAAAATGAACACCCCCATTTATTTGCTGTCCGCCCAAAGCTAGCGTGAGCAAACGTGAGCAAGCGTGAGCATAGGTCCTGAAAAGTACCTCACAGGACCTCAAAGACAAAACAACATCAAAAGGAACAAGCATCCCCCAGTAAAGCGCATTGGCATGGCATCCTACACACTATTGCGCACAATTTCCATACGTATGAATGAGTGGACTTTTTTCAAGACTGCTCATGACCAAGGTTGTCATTAACTTAAAATATGGGCGTGGACCAAGGTTTCAGAGGGATCCGATATCCCCTTTGTTGGGTTTCCTCGGATTCCTTGGCGATGAAACCCAGCAACTTCCATGGTTTCTGGGAAATCGGCCTTTTAAGGACCTCCTCGGCGGAGGTCCTACTTTTAAGGGTCCATGGACTCTGAGGGGTATACAAGGATTGACGACCCCAAGAACTTCTCTGCCTGGAAACCGCATGGCCAATGCAATTCAGCACCTGGAAATGAGAACCAACATCTTGCAAAAGTATGTGCATGTACGGGTAGCTCCGTGGTAAATCGGAATCACCAAGTAATCTCGACTTTGCACTTGGCGTTCTCACACAGCCCGCATTCTGATACGTCATGATACGTCTATATGATCAAATCTATCCCCATGTGTGTGCTACCAGCTTAGATCCAATTCGCCGGAAAAAACCGGACCTTTGAACCAAAGCCGGCCCTGACGTGACGCCCGGATGCCTGACCGACGCGAAAAATCCGTCTTCGCCGGGCCACAAACCTTGGGGTTCGCAGGATCGCGCTTCGTTGCCTCCATGATGTCCTCGAGATCTCGGGTTTGATGGGTTTTCATGGTGGGCGGACTTGGACTTGAAGAGCCTGGACCTGGAAGAAGAAACCTACAAAGAAAATCCTAATCAGCATCTTGCCATCCGCAATTGACCTCTTTTCTCGGGATTCACGCAAGTCTGTGAGATACTTTTGGACCTGGTCTTGCCTTGTGAATGGTTTCGCTTGTGCTTGTTGGTTGCGAACTTAGAGGTAGTCCGGACGTTGGACAAAAATGGAAGTTTTGTCGTCCCTGCATTGATGTTCGTGCAGTGTGTGGAACAATTGCTGGGTAGTCAGTTGAAGTTCCATCCCTAGGGATCCAAGTACCTTCTCAGATTCTCAGAAGGTACGACTGGACCCTGCAAACCTACATAACAGTCTCCCCAATCACCTTCTGAGAAGGTACTTGCATTACAAGTGTCCGGGGGTTCCGGAGGATTTGTTGGTAAACTCTATGATGTAAGTTAAAACATGTTAAAAGTCTAGGGCCATGTGGCTCCCCTGCCTCTGCCGCAGAGTCCACACGACGAAACAACCACTGACTCACTTGAATTTCAGAACGCACACTCTTCCTCTGTATACTCCTCTTTAGTCTTCCAATGCCCCTCCTCCTGCTTTGTTCTTTACGCTTCCCTCCCGCAAAAAGGCCATCGTTCCGTTGCACGCAACCCATGTGCACCGAGGCTCTTGCAGCGCCTGATCCCACTTCGCAAGTTTCAAGCGCGTGGCGGCGCGGTTCGAGAACAGCCTGGGGCTCTGCTGGCCCTGCTGAGCGGCCAGTGCCGTTGAGTAGAAACCTCAGGGAAACACTGGGATCTGGTGACCTTGAAGGATCAGGAGCCTGGGACTGAATTTGCTCTGATGACTCTGATGTGGAGTTGTTGGACAATTTTTCGTTGAGGCTGAGGTGGAAGTGGGCATGGGGCACGTGAATGCCGTTGATACTCTATGACCCCTCTCTTCAGGAAATCAACCGCTTGATCCCCAGCAATCTACACAATCCCCAGGAAATGGACGCCCAAAAGAGGTAGGCATGGAGTGCAAATGAGTGGGCCCCAGAGATCCTGAACAGGCCAAATGTGTGAGGGAAGGCCCACATCACCACTCGACATGACGAAAAAGGTCTTTGTTCGGGACCCAATCACGACCAAGCGTGAGGTCTTTTGTTGCGAACTTCATGCATGATCGACTTGAATACATTTGATACAACGGGTGGTCATGAGATGTCAAGAGTCAGGACCGTTGAGGTCACTCATGACCGGGTGTTTTTTCCTCCACTCGGCTGAGCGGCGCTCGGCGCCTTCGAAGTCGCCGCTGCGGAAGCCTGGGGCGAAGGGTTACCAGGCACACCCGAGAAATGGTGAGGAAGGTCTCCAATTCAAGTCACATGGGAAGAATCCCCTGAAGAATAGTGGATTTGCATGGATTTGCTTGTGATGAAGATATGTTTACAATTGTGTAGATATCATGTCGACACAAGAACTATAGACTGATGCTTCGACATCCCTGGACAGTGTCGTCCGGAATCTCTCACTCGTCATGTGTGGATGCATGCTGCTTTCAGCCAAAGCCTACACAATTTCATTACGCCGTGTTACGACTAGGACCAAGACCTCTCTTCAAAAAGAAACGACAAAGCTCCTAAATGGAGCCGGGACGTTCCATAAACATCCAAACACCAATGGATGGGGCACTCAATAGCTCTCATCATCGGTGCAGATCCGATGGATCGGATCGGATTTTCATCGCCAGCCATCGGCATTGGGCCGAGTCTCCGGATGGGGGAAAGGAGACGCATGGCTGAACGGTGGCTGAACGGAAGATGCCGAAGCCACATGGAACATCAGGGAAATGTGCTTTCTTGGGCACATTTGGGGATCCCAATGTTGCAAAAGGCCCTGGCAATCGATCGAAAGTGCTGTCTCTCAGTCCTGTTGGGTAGCAAAAGCCAAGACAAGTGGATACAAGTGGACGGCATTCAAATCAGAAACTCAGAAAGCACCACATATGACAAAAGGATAAATAGTACACAATCTATAACAACTCCATTGATACATATTGATACATCCGACGCATCCCAACACCCCCCCTCTCCGATCGATCCCAGCCACAAGTATTGCCCACTTCCCTCAGCTCGTTGGGCGACTCAGCCGCCTCCGCCGGACCGCGCGGCCGCGCGTCGAGCGTCTCCACGGCCACTGCGACGGCGGGCAGTGCCACGTCCGTGGCCAAGCCGGTGGCCACGGTGCAGCGGGGGTCGTAGTCAAAGAGATCGTCCGCCTGGCATGGGAGGTGTGCAAGAAAGGGCCACGTGTAGACTCCACAAGACCCTCCCCTATAGCAGCATGCTATAGAATATTATATATAAGTGCTATAGGCTATAACATGCTATAAAGACTCGAAGGGAATTCCATGATATTGCCATATAACTCTTTCACATGACCTCACAGGCTTTTCGGGCCCATCTAGGCAGACCTTAGGACGGGTGCAGAGGTGTCTACCTCTGGACTTTGAGTAAATCTCTTCGCTTTCGATCGAGTCAGTCAGTATACGAAGCATTGACCCCCCTCCCTCCCTCCCTCCCTCCCTCCCTCGGCTTCACCCTCCGCCTCCGCTTCATCCTCGGCCTCCGCTTCCTCGTCGGAGCGCGGCGCGGCGCGAAGAGGGCGATCCTTCAGCCAGGACGGTCTGGGGAACCGCAACGGTGCAACCAACGACATGTCAAAGACAAATCACTCTGCTTTTCTCACGGATTTGACGCCACCGTGTGTTTGGATCTCCTGCTCCAAATCCTCCAATTCATCAAAATCGAAGCCGCCCGACATGAAAGGCAAGCTCAAAAGCACAAAGTGGAAACCCCAGTTGGAGGGTAGGGGCGCTGGGTGGTTGCTGGTTAAGTCGTGTTGCGTCTTTCTTCCATGTGCATGTGTTGTTTCACATCAACGTTCCTACACCTTCAATTAAGTGATGTTTCTCTTCTTCAAGACGTATAACCACAATGACCCAACAGGATTTATGTGACCATTCTAGTAAGGCCACCCCAAAATATCACATGAACAACCCTTCAAACATCTTCAAACACAAGGGGCCCAGGGGCTTCGTCTAATCTACGGGTCCCAGTCTCTCTAGTCCTCGATTGGGTGTGGATCTCTCCCCGATCTGAACATGTCCTAACCTCACCGTGAGACTGACCGCTTTGCTACGGTACCTACGGGACAGAACCGTAAGGAATGCTTTTGTCCACAAGCTCCGACTTCCTCCGACTGTCACAACCTTCCCAAACACTCCATGGGACTGCCATATTTGCCTATACATGGAGTGTATGAGTGGGGCATATATTCCATACATGGAGTGTATGAGTGTATCGGCTTGATTTTTCTTCGAATCGTGTCAATGACCATGCTTTACACCTTCCGGAAGGCATGAACTTCTTGGCCCAGCCGTGCATGGCTTGAGCCAATGGCAGTGAGATCTCTCACAGGTGCCGAGTGAATAGATTAGAAAAGCATGTATGCAGCTTTCAAGACATGTGATGTTGTGAGAAATTGTTCAACTTGCAAGTTGATTTTGATCATCCACCCAAAATACATCAAAATACAGTTGACCCCGCCTGCATGACCATGACCATGCGCTGGGAACCAAATATCACTATAGCGAGTAATTTGCAGGGGCTCGAGCAGTGAAGAAAGGACCCCCCTAAAGTTATTTGTTGCGTTCCTTGTCCAACAGTCCAAATAAAAGTCCAGAACATCAACAAATCAACAAGTCACCAGTCCCAAAGCCTGAACATCCTGTTAGGGTTCCTCTACGAGTGGGAGAATTTCTGACTTCGATGGCCATGGATTTCGGGTTGGGCCTTGCCGTGCGTGACCACGAAGAACTCACAAACTTCGAACTCGATTCTTGAATGCTACCTGCTGGGCCTACTACAACATTAATGATTAGTCTATTATTAGTCTGTACCTGTAATTCAAACCAGCGGTCGCCTGTTTATGTCTTTCCCATCATACTGTATTTGTAAACATGTTTGCCATCATCCTTCATATATCGATATCATAATTCATTCCAAACTTCTTCGGCTCAATGAACTGTTCTCCATTGGATCCGTGTGTTTTTAACCCCCTGCATCCGGGGCGGCCACCATGAACTCCCGATGGTTGTTCAAGCCGATGACCTCAGGACGACCGGTGCTGCATTCGGTGACCCGGCCGGGCATCCGAAGAGATCTTGGGAAATTTGCACCGTGACTTTGGATGCACCGCGCCAGGTGTCAAATCGTTTTTGGTGTTGAAATATGCTTCAATCCGCGCGTTCTTACAAAAGAAGTGCATCATGTTGGGATCTGGGTTGGTTGATGTGGGATTCCAACATTCCAACATTCCAACCGTCCCCTTTGAGGTCTCCCAAAAAGTTCCTCACTCGACATCAGTTTTCGGATCCAAGTCCAAGGGAGGTGGCAAGCGTCTTTCCACCATCTGGCGCCGTAGGGCAGCACATCTGAGGTGGCCACGTTGGTGACCCAGCGGCAATAGTGGTCAAAGCGTCGGATAGGCCGTTTGTAGAGCCTCGGTGGTCGGTGGGCTGAAGAAACTGTGAGGATGTTTATTCCCCGGATGGGATCCAGTCTGCAGTCGTACCTTCTGAGAAGGTGGGACTGGGGTGGGTTTGGAGGGTCCAAATACAAAAAAAATACATTCTGAAGAGGTACGACTGGAGCCCTAGTGTTCATCAAAGTCTACCGTCTAAGTCTAAAGTTTAAAGTGATGAGAAATCAAAGGAAATCACTACCACATGTCTTGGACCACTTGCCTCCAAGTCTGTGCTCCCACCCACACCAAAAAGGCCAAACATTTTGCAGATCAATGGCAGTCGAGCCACCACGCCTTATGTGAGCGCTTGGGCATTGGTTGACCCGCCTCTTGCATCTCTTGTTGCTTCCTCTTGTCCATCTGCCCTGACTTCAGCACAGCATCTGTCTCGACTTCGGCCGGTGGGTCTGGGAAGGAGACTTAATCAAATGAGGAGCTCTGCAAGTATTTGAGGGGCCGAAACAATCTCCCCCTCGAAGGGGGGGGCGAAGGCATCTGAACGAGTCATTTGTGGACCGCCACTGTCAGTTCCTACATTCCCAGAACACCAGCTTGGAGGGCATCACCCTCCAGCACTTCACTCGATGTTTCGAGCTCCGCATGTGACATCGATGTGACAAATGGTGCTCAAAGAGGCCAAACGAAAGAGGTGGATTCTTCTTCAAAGTTCCATCCAAAGACAAGATAGTGCCACCAGTTGCCTGGATCTGAGAGCAAGCAGTAGAGCAAGCAGAACAAAGTCACCTTGGTGACAGAAATCCTGGAGACCGGCTGTGAACATTTGTGGACCAAACGCTGTTCCTGCCTTTGTTATGCATGCCTAAATGAATGACGTGACAAAAAATGCCTCAAAGAGCATTGGTTTCACCGAGTCTCACCCACTGTATTTGCGACCAATCATTGACTTTCCATGAATTCATTCCTGCACTCATGTGGTCAAAGAACGCATGTGGTCGGCCGAGGTCACCTGGAAGGTCTCCATCCGCCGCACTTGCTGCTCCAAAACCAAGAATTGGTGACGTGCTTAATGGCAAACGTCAAGAATCATGGTGGTGAGACGGCCCATGAGTGGGAATGATCAATAGTAATCAATAGTATGATCTGGCATCATGGTCTCTGCAAAGAGTTATGGTCTAAATCGATTTTAGATCTCTTAGCTTAGTCATAACATGTCAGAATGGTTCCCGCTGATACCAAGTGGTGTGGCGCAGTGCAAAACATGTACGGCGAGAGCCCCACAAGTTTCTAGGTATTTACAGCACTAGGGTTGGCCCCTGTCCCTTGTCACGTTGACCCAACACTCAACGCCGTTGACTTCTTTGTCTCCACCACCCACGCTCTTTCAATCCTCAAGCAAAACCATGCACCATGTAGCCATGCACATCCCACGCACGTGCTCGCCGCACGTCCCCCGATTCCCACATCCGAGTGGCGAAGTAAAGGGCCTGAAGCAGAAGACTCGTGAAGCACTCATGGTCAATCACGTTGCTGAGCCAAAACATGGCCGCTCTCTGAAATCTGTGAACGTGTCACACTGTCACATGTCTCATATTCCCTTTTACTTCGAGACTTTGAGACCAATCTAAACAACGGTCAGGGTGGGTGGCTTCGGTAAACCGCCTACTTGACTCTGTTGGACCTTCCACGAGTTGAACAGCTCCCAGAGTGGAAACCTTGATTTCTTGGACTTATTTTGCCCGCAAACGAGTTCCCGCAAACGAGTTTGATAGTCATATTATATTTCTTATACGCATTTATTGTGAAACAAGTTTGACCGCACTTTTTGGCAGCAAAAAGTATGACCCCTCACACTGTCTCTGTAGCGCTCAGGCGCAAAGAAGAAGGTAGTGAAGACGTATGCGGATCCACACCTGAAGCCGCCGAGAATCACCATGGTCAAATCTCTTCTGAAGAAAACATAATGACAGGGAACCATCCCACTAAAATAGTAGCCAATGGTAGGCGGCAAGGTGTGCACAGTACCCAAACTAAAGCGGAAGCCACTGGATATCGTGATGACTTGATCGTTTTGCCTGGAAAAGGACTTGTAGAACTTTGGTCTCAAGCCACATTTAATGCCTGCCCTCATGAAAATGCATCCAGAATCCAAAGGCCAAAAGGCTTACAAACATGTCAACACAGGACTGCTGCATGCACGAAGATCCCCATGTTACCATGTTCTTTGAGTTTTTGCAATGAAGGGCACGATTCTAAGGGCGCAATTCGTCCTGCGTCCTACATATAGCAATAGCATATATAGTATAAACTAAAAACCTTCCCAAGCGAACAGAATCATCAAGTCTCCAAATGCATGTTGACTTCACATTCGAGCAGTTCACGTCTGATGGGCCTCTCAAACTCACCAGCCTTACAAAGGCTCTGCCCCTTATCTTACAAAAGCTAGCCAGTCTAACACGACAATGGGCAAAGATTTAGCCCCTTTCTTCTGACCTCTCAGAGATCCTGTCATCTTTTTAGCTGGGAGACAGGTTGCCGGAAGCCTTTTTTTGACTTTTGGACCCTCCCAAATTAATGTCCATCTGCCTCAGCTGGTGCAAACTCCAACCGTGACAATTCCGAATCAACTTCACGCCCCATTCTGAGCATGCCTGCTGCCAGGGTGCATATCGATCATGATCGACCGCTGCTCCGTCAGCATACACATAGCCCCAGCCAAGGTGGAGACAAAAAGCACCGAGGGGAAGAAAGGCCGTTCATCAAACATACCTTAGACTCCGCACCGATCGATCTCATCGACCCGTCTATGTGTTGCGCAGCTCCAGACCCCTCCCAGGCGTGGAAGGTGAAGGAAGATTGATGAACATAGACCAGTCTACCCAATTGGACCAGGCAGTCTGACTATTTTCACCTTCACACCCCTATATGTCTGGAAGGGAACACGAGCTTTCCGGTGGAGAGACCCGGTGGTTCCCAACGGGTGGAGTTCGGTCGTAAATAGCCACCTGGTCGTTGCGAGATGGCATCGAGTTGCGTGCAGTCTTGATCCAATTTTTTGAGAAGGACATGGGATCGGAGGCTGGTGGCAATGATTTCTTGTGACGAGGGTCTGACTGTTGGTTTGGTCGCGGGCGTGGGAATGGCACTGAACATGGCAAAACCTTGCATAAAATCATTGACTTTCCCAAGCAACATCTTTGGATGCAACATGATGCGAGAAACTCCATGGATGATGCAACTAAATACTCACCAGGCAGGTACTCATCATGAAATAGCGGTGCTGTGCCCATGTGATCCCCAAATAATATATATATATAAGATAAAA